TAAGCACAAACAACTGTCACTTTGGGGATGTGTCCCTATTTTACTTAACAATGACTCATTTATCCTGTTATCCCCGTGGCACAAATAAGGAAACTCAACCTTGGACATTAAGTAAATAAATTTATTTTAAGTCACATTGCAAATAGGGAGAAAAACTAGGGTTTGAAAGAAGTTTCTTCTTATCCCTCAGCTCATATTCTCAGCTCCTAAAATATAGTAAGAGTTCACAGGGGACTCAGGATTCAAATACAGAACTTCCAAACTTTTTTTCCACTTCATTGTGTTAAAATAGCTCAATTCTTTGCTTTTGTCTTTACTGAGAGGGAAATGAGTGTCAGAATAGGTTGTAAAGAAAAAGTTAGCTGCTATGGAAAATAAATTTAAATCTCATTGCTAGAATAAATTAAGTCTAACATTTAAAAAGTGTTATGTTGAGCCCAACCATTGTGACCAAGAGGTCACTGGTTCGATTTCTGATCAGGGCACATGCCTAGGTTTTAGGCTCAGTCCCCAGTAGGGGGTGTGCAGGAGGCAGCTAATTGATGTTCTTCTAGAATAGATGTCTCTATCTCTGTTTTCCTCTCCCTTTCTCTCTCTCTTTAAAAATCAATAAAAACATTTTTTTATAAGTGATATATTAAGACCACCAAAATTCTCTTTGAGGTATTTAAGAATCCACAGAGAATAAGAAATCTGGTCAAAGAAAAGAAACAAGGTAAATGTTACCACAGGGTGGAGTCTCACTAACAATAATGTCTCAAGCTCCTAAAGACCCATTCATTTCCAGCATAAACCAAGTCAGGACCAAACTTCCCAGGAAGGGAGCTCAGAAGCAGCAGGCAGGGATTTGAGCCCTACTCCTTGAAGGTGCTGAGATCCAAGGTAAGTCATCAGCAGTAGGAAAAGGAACAGGAGACCAGCTTTATAGGTTACCAACATCAATGAAGAGGGTATTCTGAAGAATGGCAGCTAACTGGCATCCAGGGCTTATACCCAACATGACAGTTAACAAACTGGCTAGTCATATGATTATATTCAAGTACTACTCAATGGTGCCATTGAATCTGCCAACAACCATCCCTTTCATGACTGGTTTAGAAACTGGGGTGAGCCCTGGTCTAAAGGTTGAGTTTATCAAGAGATCCAGAAGAATGTAAAGAAAGCAAAAGTTTGTAAAAATGAGGCAGGGCCTGAAAAAGTAAAGTATAAATGGATGGACTTTATTATTGATACTGTTGTGGGGTTGAACCCTGGGTTCAAAATAAGACTACTGGAGGCTGATGATTGATTTTTTAAAAAGCAGGCAGTAATTTATTGAAAAACTGGCCAGGACAGCCGCAAGAACACCACACGCAGGTGAACTCCACACGACCAACCGAACTGTTCCAGGTGTAGACAAGTCTTTTTAAAGGATCAAACCACAGGAATTTTCCTTTATTCTAAATTCTAAAGGCTGGGAACATTGGAATGTGGTCCTATCTTGCCGATAATACAGAAGCAGAACTCAGAGGTTAATCTCTAAAGGTTATCTATAGTTTCTCCCCTGAAGCTACTGAGTCAGTGGGAATCAACCTCCTGTAACTACCCTATTGTTTAAGCAAGTAAGGGAATGCTGAAGCCAGATTAGCAGGGTTAAAATTCAAACAGCAGTTTTTACCCAAGTATGGTTGCTACCATATTTCAGATACTTTATTTCTTGTCTTTGGCAAGACTTGAGGACAGACTATCAACCCCTATGGTTTATAAGTACTTAAAGTAACTTTACCAGTACACAGCAAAAGACCCAGAAATTCACTAATGCCTCGAGGCAGATGAATGGCATTCCTTTTTAAGATCAAGTTCCAAAGCCCACAGAGGAGGGGAATGCTGTAACCACAACATTCTGGCTTCTACCATACACTTTGAACAGAATATTTTTGGTTAATCCTCACCAGAGGACATTTTTTTCCCCACAGTTTTTCAGAGAGATTGGGAGGGAGGGAAGGAGGAAGAAAGGGAGAGAGGGAGGGTCAGATAGACGGAGAGAAACTGATATTGATTGGTTGCCTCCCACACACGCCCCAAGCAGGGGCAACAGACTGAGAATCAACTCACAACTTCACCAGTTTTGACTGGCATTCTAACCATTGAGCACATCTGCCCAGGGCATGAACAGAATTTTAAAACACAGGAAGGATGTGACATCAGAGTAAATTCCTGACTGGTTCAACGATGCAATTTAAAGACTGCTGATGAATGAACCCGACCTACAGTAAAAGGAAGTTGCTAAAGGTGTGCCACAGGCCCCTATCCTCAGTCTAAGCTAGTTTAGCAATTTTAATCCATTTGTAAAAACAATAGCCAGCATATTTAAGAAGGTCACAGATGAGATTAAAATCAAAGACTAGTGAATAAGGTGGATGACAGATCCAAGATCCTGAAAGATTTAAAAAGTCTGAGGAAAAATGACATTCTACAGGAATATATATCAGATCCTACACCTAGATTAAAACATACACACACACACTAAATAAATAAATAGATAAATAAATAAATAAATAAATAAATAAGAAAACAAGGGAAACCATCACTTTACAACAATATGCATAAAGCTAAATTAGAAGGTTTAACATAAAAAAAACTTTCCATAAAAAAATGGAGCAGGCTGCCTGTGTATGTGGCCTCTCCTCACTGAAAAGAGGTAAACTGAGGTCTACCCCTGATCAAAGTTTCAAAGAACTAGAATAGATAACCAAAACATCCTTTCCCAGTCTGTATTTCTCTGCTAGTCTCATCTTACTGAGCTTCATTACTGTCAGTAGCCATTGACCATGGAGAGCACACTGAGCTGGGCCGGCATGCTTTTCAAGTAAAGAAAGCACTAGTGCCCAGCCTGTGTGGCCCAGTGGTTGAGTGTTGACCCATGAATCAGAAGGTCATGGTTTGATTCCCTTTCAGGCCACATGCCTGAGTTTTGAGATCAATCCCCAGCAGGGGACAATGCAGGAGCCAGCCAATGGATAATTCTCTCTCAACATTGATGTTTCTCTCCCTTCTGTTCTGAAATCAATTTTAAAAAATTTAAAACAAAAAAAGAAAGCACTAGCTTTATAGTACAATTGTAGAATTTATTGTTTCCATGTTAACTAAACAGAGGCTTTACTGTGGAATCATTATCTGATCCTCTAAGGCAGTTTAATTTATTAAAAGTATAAGAGAACCTAGTTATTTCATTAGCGTAGAGAAGTAAGGGATACTCCTGCCTTGAAGTCATTCCAAGTTACTGTGAGGTTCGGAATCACAAGGAGCCATCATGGAGCAATAGGCAGAAAAACAGAAGATATGCTTGAGAAAACTTGATCTTTCTAGACCTCAGTTCATTCATCTATAAAATGGGCATAAAACTTAGCCATGTCTATTCTAGATTGTTGTGCAAATCAAATTAGACAACGCAGGTAAAGGAGCTCTGAGACTATACAGTGTGATATCAATGCAAGGGCTTTCCAATACAAACACAGACTTGTTATGTCTTGTGTTCATTTTATCTGACATGCATTTTGCCTTCTTGGTATAAGAATTTGGGTCAGTCTACCCACCTACTTACCTGCCTCTAAGTACATGTCAAACCTCAATTTTCCAAAGCTTCCATGTTAAGGTGTGAGACATGATTCCCCAGTATGATATCAATGCATGCTAAATTTGCAGTATAGTTCAATGATTTGCCCACATAGCAAGAGGGAAAGAGGGGTACAGGTGCTAATGAATCAGGCAAGGCACAGCTACTCCTTTCCACCTCTTAGCTGACAGCTAAAGGTGTGCCACAGGCCCCTATCCGGGTTTAATTCCACTCAGCCACATAACTGGGGATGTTCAGGAACCTCCATGACCCTCGGTTCCTTGGAACTAGCCTGCTTCTGGCATTCTACTAGACTGAACCACAAGAAACTGCTGTGTTTTGAATGTCAAAAACAGTCAAAATATCAGCTATGATTCAACCTAATAAATCCAGAATTCTAAATGTATTCATTTAATTAGGGAGAATGAGGCCATCCTGAAAATTATCACACTTTTTCTAGGTAAGACATAGAGAAGATCAATTTCCTGCCAAATGAGTGGTTTAAACTTGAAGTTCTCACTGGTGGGACACTTAGCTCCCTTGGAAGTAGATATTTGTTCTTTTCTACATGAGGTATCCATGTATCACTTAGAAAGGAACCATACACCAGCTGGCTAAATTACCCACTTTTATAGATGAATGTCAACTAGAGAAAGGAGTCAAGTGAGTATGTTGACTACATACTCAGTGCCACAAAAGTACCCAAGTCCCAGGTAAAAAGGAAGATGTTATCTGTGATATAAAATGTAAAATGACAAATCAGGAAAAATACATACTCTGATAAGTTCCAAACAGATAGGTGGAAGTAAATGCGTTCAAAGAAATTTTAAAGTGTTGATCTGTGCCATTTCCTAGCTGTGAAAACTCACCAATACTCTGACTTTGATTGTTTATTAAAGATTATGAATCATGCCTACTCAGTTTTATCAGATCTGTAAAATATTTCCTTAAAATTCCTTATGCAAATAGTAGTTTTCAAGCAAACTAGGGTTACAAAAATAAAATTCCTTTATAACTAAATTTTAGGGGGAAAAACTGAAAGGATTTAGGCATTAGCATTCCTTTCTATTAAAATGTAATTAATTTCTAGAACAATAAATTGAAGAGACAGTTATTACTTTCAATGGGTATTAATGGAAACTAACTTATGTAGACAGGGTAGGGCAAAAGTAGGTTTACAGGTATGAGTATGCAAAACAGTTTATTCTGGTATTATTATGTATTCTTATATTATTATTTATTATTTTTCACATGAACAACTGATCTACTTTTGCCCCACCCATATATACACTTGTTTGCAAAGTGATATAAATGCCATTGCTAGATTTTAAAAACATTAAAAAAAAAAGAGATGAAATATTATCAAATGAATAACAAATACATGCAATCACAAGAATTTGCTTACCTGTAATACAAATTTCTGATCTATGTATTTTTTGGCAATGCTGGGTTGGAATTCTTGGCTTTCCAAAAATCGTATGAAAAATTCATATACAAGCTGCAACAACACAATTAAATTCGAATTATAATACACTGAGAATAGTATCAAAACCATAAAGCCTGCAACACTAAAACTGACAGGTCTTAAATGTTGATTCGCTATGATATACATCTGAAACTAACATTATACATCAGCTATACTTTAACTTCTTAAAAAATCTATAAGAGAAAACATGACTGGGCTTAGAAAATTGGGTTTTAATATAAATGGACTAGTTAAACCCGCTAACTTTTCATTGTGACTCACAGTTGTGTTAGGTTTTTTAACATTTTAAATTAAAAATTAGGAAATACAGCCAAATAAAGCAAATAAAAATCCCCCATAATTTTGTCATTCAGAGATAACCACTTTTAAGATTTCAATGTATCAACCTCACAATTTTTCTCTATAGTTCTACAATACACCAATGTATTATAAATATATTTTATATCATTTCATAAGCTATTTTACCCCCTTAATAATATATTATGAACAATTTGTGTTAGCAATACCTAAGCCATTTTTCTCAGTAATATAAGTTGTCCATTATACGAAATCTCTTATGCTTGGACATTTAAGTAATTTTGAATTACTTCTCAAATTATGCCACAATGAATATCATATAACATACATCAGTGTGCACTTGCTAAATTATTTTATGAAGAAATTCTTCTAGAAGTGGGATTATTAAAATCCACTACTAGATATTAAAACATTCCAGAATTTTCAATAATCACTGAAATATTTCCTTTCAGAAAGTTTATGGCAATTTACACTCCTCTAAGCAACATAGGATGGCAGAATATTCTCATCTGCAAAGAGTAAGAACATTCTCGTCTGAAGAATCAACCTTAATAACTGTTCTGATAAACAGTAGATCACTGTTTATGCTCTTTGCATAATAAATCTATGCTAAAGTATACACAAGATCCTAGTATAGTACACAGCAGTATATTAAAATAAGAATTTTTAAGAGACAGACAGACATTGGGTTGTAAGCCCAGCTCTGTTCCTCACTATTTGTGTAGCCCTATGCAAGTTAATTTCTCTACACAGGAATAACTAATATCACCACTGTCACTGTTGCCTAAAACAGCACTCTCAAGCTTTTTAGTTTCACTTTACAGTTAAAAATGATGAAGGACCCCAAAAAGCTTTTGTTTATATATAATATAGAATATTTAGATTATAGTATAATTAGAAATAAAAACAAAAACATTTTAAGTATGTATTTCTTATTTCACTTTAAAACAAATAAAATATATTACATGTTAACATAAATCATATATTTTGTAAAAGTAACTTTATTTTCCAAAATATCATTGAGAAGAGAGGCACTGCTTTTTACTTTTGCAAGTCTCTTTAAAGACATGTTAGAAAACAACTATAGTTGTCTTATCTGCTTCAGTATTCAATCTGTTTGGATTCAAGTAGATAAAGAAAATCAAGCTTCACACAGATCTAGCCCATATCATATTTTCAGTCTTTTCACATAATTGGAATATTTTTCTTTGAAACCACACTACAACTCGACAAACAGTCGTTTCTTAAAGATGAGTTGCAATGCAGAATGTGAAACCTTATCAGTGAATGCTTCATACTCTATTACATTAAATTCCAATAATCTGTCTTGCAGATCTCTGAATAGATCTTTATCCATGTGTGGCTTCCTAACATCATTTACTGGTCAACTGGAAAACACTGGTCCACTGTGTTATGTGAATCTTCAAATGTTGACACATTTCACTAGTCACATTCCTTAATATCTCCAATTTTATCAAAAAACTAAGCTTTTGAAACCTGTAAAGTTCAAGGTGACAGATACAAGTCTCTCAAATTTTAATTCTAAATTTTGTTTGAATGCTCTGCATTAGTGCCAACAATTGTTTTCTTTGTCCATTTTAGAAAAAATATCCACCAAATGTCCAAGCTGCAATAATCCTAGAGTGTTAGGCATGCCTTCATGTAAAAAACATTTGATGAAAAACAGCTTGGCTCGAACTCAAAGCAATCACACAAGTGCTTCTAGGGTCTGCACAAGACCCCCTCGCACTTCGGTAAGCAGATGTGCTTTGTGCATGCTTTCCATTTCTTCATGAAGAATATTTCTGTTACATGTGTATTCAAAGGTCAAGATGTAATAAAATTAATAATTTTGTTGCTTCTTCAAGGACATTCTTTTTTGGGGGAGGGGACGAATATGTCACATGTCATTTTCTAAATAAGATGGATAGTTTTTTTTTTCTTCTTTCTTTTTAGTATATTTTTATTGATTTCAGAGAGGAAGGGAGAGGGAGAGACAGCCAGAAACATCAATGATGAGAATGAATCATCTACTGGCTGCCTCTTGCACACTTCTACTGGGGATCAAACCCACAACCTAGGCATGAGTCTGACTAGGAATCACACTGTGACCTCCTGGTTCATGGGTCAATCCACACTGGCCAGGCTCCACTGAATATTTTTTAATCCTCACCTGAGGATATTTTTCCATTGATTTTTAGAAAGAGAGGAAGAGAGAGGGAAAGACAGAGAGAAATATCGATGTGAGAGAAACACATTGATTGGTTGCCTCCTGAAAGCACCCTGAGGACCCACTCCCTGAGGGCCAGGAATGGGGAGGAGCATGCAACCAAGGTACTTGCCGTTGATGAACACGGGACCTTTAGATCTGCAGGCCTATACTCTATTAAGACAAACCAGCTAAGGCTCCACTTAATTTTTTTAAAATTACTTATTAAGCAGAAGAGATTTCACATAACCAGTTTCTTATTGAACAAGGGTCATAATTATAATATTCATTTCAAGGATATTCTTAGTTGAAACTTTTTTTTTTTTTAATTGCAAATATGTGGCAGTGAAGAAGACTTCCAGCCAGTTTGACACAAATGCCTTGATTTGTGCTGAGGCACAATTTCAACCACCATCGTTCTACAACTATCAGCGCAAATGGCAACACAGTGAAAAGAGCGAGTAAGGGAGTATTATTATAAAACTAGCTTTGATGGCCTTGTTTAGATCACTGGAAATCAGGTTTCAGGTCCCCCACTAAGGGCATGCAGATACCAGTAGCCCAAATGTATCATGTAGTAACCTTTTAACTTCAGACACTAATTTAACACTAGATTCACATTAGAATTATACTTTTTTATAAAACTACTAGAGGCCCAATCGCACGAAATTTGTGCAAGAGTAGCTTTCCTTCCCCTAGCTGCTGGCTTCAGCTTCCCTCCGGTACCCAGGATCCAGGCTTCCTCCAGGACCCAGGCTTCCCTCGAAGCCTCAGCTTCATCCAGAAGGGCATCAGGTCTAATTAACATATTATACTTTTATTATTATAGATGTTTTTGTCTTCGAAGCTCTCTGAATTCAGAAAAACTCCTTTTCTAATGATCTGAAGACTTCCAGTTGTATAATACTTGTCCTCCTAGTCGTAGGAACACCTGAGTCCCAACACCTCCTAGAACCGTTCTTTTTTCAATACACTAATCTTTGAAATCATAGTTTTATAAATAGAATGGAAGGCTTTTTCAAGTAACCCATTCAAGGGGTTTCATCTTTCTCTTGACTCCCACAGAGTGGAGAGATTCTTGTCTTCCAGACCCAACTGCATGGCTTTCCACCGGAATTAGCAAGGTACCCTCTCCCCTCAGTCCCTTTAAGCATGGTGAAAGCACTTCAGACACATCCTATATAATGAAAGTGTAACATGCTAATTAGACTGGGCATCCTTCCGGGCGACCTTCCGCAAGACCTTCGGGATGACCTTCTAGACCAGGCGTCCTCAAACTTTTTAAAGTGGGGGCCAGATCACGGTCCCTCAGAGAGCTGGAGGGCCGGACTATATGAACTACTAATTCCTACTGTAACACCTCGGCTGCGCTCACTGCCCAAAAAACCTGGCGGGCCAGATCAGACTCCTCTGCGGGCCGCATGTGGCCCTCGGGCCGTAGTTTGAAGACCCCTGTTCTAGACGAAACTGGGGCTGTGAGGGAAGCCAGAGTCCCAGGTGCCAGAGAGAAGCCGGTGCCAGAAGTCAGGGGAAGGAAGACCTACTCTTGCACAAATTTCATGCATCGGGCCTCTAGTTTATTAATAACTATAAATGTTCTTAGGAGACAGATTTTATCTCAGAATCAAAAATCTCCCTTGACTTTCTAAAGGAAAAGATTGAGGACTTGGGAAGGATCAATTGCTTTTCAAGGTCACATAAAAGAATTCCCTAAGAAACATAAATAAAAAGACTTAGCATTCCTGTTTTTCAGTCTCAGGTGAAAAGCATTAAAAACAATCCCTTAACTGCAAATGGAAGTTCTGTAAAATCATAGTCTTTCTGTTGGTTGGTTGGTTGGTTGGTTGGTTGGTTGGTTGGTTGGTTTTGTTAATCCTCACCCAAGGTTATTTTTCCACTAATTTTTTAGAGAGAGTGCAAGGGAGGGAGACAGAGAGAGAAATATCTATGTGAGAGAGACAAGTTGAATCTTTAAAGATACCTCTTTTCCTGTCTCTTCTACCATAAAATGTGGAACTTTCCAGAGGAGATTATCTTTTTCTGTTTGTTTTCTTTTTAAATTTTTTTCAGATTACAGTGCACTTCTATAAACTGCTGCCAAGCATTAAGAATAAGACATGACAAGGAGTCCACACATTCAAAAGAGTAATTCTGTTTTTTGGATTTTTGTCACATGAAAGGCACAAATAGTTTTGCAAATCTCTTAGAATGTATACAGCATGTCTAGAACCTTAAAAAAAAACAAAACACCAGGCATCTAAGATAGTAAATCAGCAACAGCATTTTAATTTACTCAATCTTGGCACTAGTAGGATAAATACATATGTATAATATGCCCTGGTAAAAGATGAGAGCAGAGCCCCTGAAAATTCTCTACATAACTAGGAAATAACATACATGTATATCTGTAGCAACCTTGAGTTGTCAAAGCAAGACAGGGAATGCTGCAAATTTATGTCAAAACTAGTGGCCTGGTGCACAAATTCATGAACATTGAAAGGAAATTAATTAGAAGGAATATTTTAATATCGCTACTTGCTCTTTCTCTATAATAGAAGTGTCAACCAAATTCACAATCAAACAATGACAGATATAAACATGCGTGCAATTGGCATCAGTGAGAGCTTTATATGTATCATGAATATGCAAGTCAAGTTAGCCTTTTATGTATATAGAATAAAGTTGCTTAATTAGATTTGCTTTCTGATGTAGCTAAACTTTTTCCAGCCCAGTGAAGCACTCCAACTTCTCTTTCAGGTAATTGTCAGCAACAAAGTAGTAAATATCAACACAAAGCACATTATTATTGTAGATCACACAGGAAGAACAAAGGGTAAAATATTTAACTGCAGCAGTGTTTGACTATATTCTGCGCAGTGAGAAAACCTGAAATCATTTTCAAGGTCCACCATTTCTTACTTCTTTTCACTTGGGTCAAGTTTCTAAACTTTCTAAATCTCTGTTTTCTGGCTAATGAAAAGAAAATAGGATTCCACTGAGTCTCCTATCCACCTACTCCAGGACTTCTGTGAGGATCAAATGAGATGAGGTATGAGAAAACATTTCCTATACATTTGGTTAAAGTGTGAAATGTTTACACCTGGCTATAAAGCAAATCATGTTCCTGGGCTGAAGAAACTGCAAGGAGGCTACAGGAGAAGTTGGACATTGCTACGTGACTTCATTACCTGGGTGCCCATAGCAACTGTTTCTGGGCTGGGCTGGGCTGTGGGCCCCATTTTGTGCCATGGCAGCATCAGCTGCAATTTGGTGGGATGTCGTTCCAAGGTGGTGGCGGGGCCTGTGTCCCACTTTGGGGAAGCCAAGTGTTGCTTTGTCGGTGCCAGGTCCATGTTGCCATTTCTCTGTAAATAGCCAGTGTGTGTCATGGCTTCTGCATTGAGTGTCTTCCCTCTGGTGGTCAGTGCGTGTCATAGCAACCAGTCAGATGGGCAGAGGGACACTTAGCATATTAGCCTTTTATAATATACAGATAGATTTTGTGCTTCAGAAAGTCAACCAGTAACCACACACACAGCCACAAAGATGCAGTGGCTTCTGCCTCGAGGTGAAGATGTACAAAGTTATATCCTTCCTTTTCCAGCCTTACCCTCCTTGCTAGTTCTCTGAGGACTAGCCTCTGAGGACAGTCTGACTCAGTGAAGATGACTTTGGGGTTCACTACATTAAATTTCCTTTTCTATTCTTTTGAGAAATGTTGTTCTACAGAAGACAGCCCGGAGAGGAGGATGGAAAATGACTGGCATGAATAAGTAAATACAACACAGATGGGCCTAGAACTGGGAAAGGAGACACAGGATGGCCCTGATCTGTCCTAGTATATGAGTGTGATTGGAAAACTGGCCATCACACAAGTGTTACCTCAGCTGTTGCTCCTCCTTCCAACACTTTGAAATAGCTATTCCAATTTGCTTTTGCCCTTGCAGGCTAAAGAAACACATCTGTGGTTATCATGAAGACAGGCATACAAGTCCTCAGGCTACCCACTGCTGAAAATGAGATGTGTACTCTGTGACCTAATCACATCTAACTAATATTAATGTGAAGACAGTTCTGTTCTTGCTTGAGCTTCCAGCAGGCAGTTCACACAGAAACTCTAATAAAAAGAACAAGAACTGCCTGTTGGGAGGGCCCACACTAAAGCATTACACTGAAACTTATTATTTTATTCTTTTGCATCCTAATTATCAAAAATAAGAAACATAAAAGGCATTCTCTGACTTCCCAATTATGTTCCCTAATTTGATTTAAGTGAATAAAGGCCCTCACAAAATGCCTATGCTAATCAGCCAGTAAGTTAATGAATCTTTCTTTTATAACAAATGGTAGTTCAAAGTACCTGTAAGTGTGGCCATGATGCCTCAAGCGTGGGTTCATCTTCTTCTGGATCAAATTCATTGCTGTCACTAGGAGGGAGAGTTCTGAATATATTGCAAGATACCTAAAAATAAACAAGCAGCAGAGTTAGCTTGGAAGCACCTCCCAGGCAGCCCTACACAGATCTTTACGGCCAGCCAAAGGGAACACAGATGACAGATGACAGGATATCACCAAAATGGAACGAGGGCCTCTTTCTATAGGCTTTGAGGTCAGGCCTGCCTCTAGGCAAAGCCTGGAAGCTGCAAAGCAGCACCTTCTACCCCCATGAGCAGTATTCCCTGTCCTTATGTGTCTTTCCCACCGCAGGTCCCTGAGACTATATACCTTCCATCAAAGCCTGCTTTTGGTTACTTACCAGTCAACAGGCTTCTAATTAACCAATTTACACTAAGATATAAATAACTGCTAATGGGCTTCATGCATTTCCCTTCTCAGGCTTATTCACAATTTACAAATTTACAGTTGAACTAATGGAGAAATTTAGGCATCCACACAAAAAAAAATCAGAGAAGATAGGTCAGAACTCTTCTAACATGCTTAAAATCAGACCTAATCTGTTCTCAGTTGGTTAATAAAATAATAACAAGCCCAGGATAAGATACAAACCTCTATAGATCAGGCACTGGCAATTTCCAAATTAAATGCTAGTTGCTCAAAGAATGTCCATGAGTTGGTAACTATTTTAACTGGGTGATGACAAGATGAAGATTCATTCTACTATTCTATTGTTTTTGTATATATTTCAAAATTTCTACATAAAGTGCTTATTTTTAAATGTTGTTGCTACTAATCCCAGAGTTCCTTTTCAATTTCTATTCTGTTTATTGACCTACTTATTTACCTATCATCTCCTAATTATCTCTAAACATATCCTCAGATCTGAAGAAAAAACAGAAGAATGAAATGGGGGAGAGAGCAAGTTATATGAGTTGAAAGCAATAAAGGAACAGCAAGGAGATACTGCACTAGAAACCTCTGTTGGACTTTCTATACAGTGCAGAAAATACTAAGCTTTAATATGCTGATCTGAAAGAAAGAAAGAAAAAAGGCTTTGGGGGGCCCATATCATCTAAATGTGTTTATTCATTCAACAAGTATTTCAGTGCTCACTGTGTGTGTGCACACTGTTCCAGGCACTAGGAAAATAACAGTGAGCAATGCAGATAAAAATCTGTGCCTCATGGAGCTTACATTCTAGTGAAAGTCAGATTCCCTATTTCCTAGCTATAGAGACTGAGCCCAGGTGTGTAAGCCATGCAAAGGAGATTTGATTTTATTTTAAGTGCCATAGGAAGCAACCAGAGAATTTTAATCAGAGATATGACATGATTTGATTTTTGCTTTATAGAAAAATGACTCTGGTAGCTATGTATAGAACAGACAGGAAGGAAGGAAGTTATAGATTCTGTGGACATAGTAAGAGATGATGATGGTTTGAACTAGGATGGTGACAGAGAAGACAGACAGAAATAAATTGATTCAATATACATACTGCTGACTTGGATATATGGGGTGGAGGAAAGGAAAGAATCAAGAATGAGTCATAGATTTAAGGCCATTTACCCAAGATAGAGGTCGGAAAGAAAAAGGGTGTCTTTCTTTGCTTGTTTTGATGGGAAGACCCAGAGATCCAGTTAGGTTTGTGTAGTAGGAACAAGCAATATCTTGGAAACAATCACATAAATCCAGAGCTGACCAGGTCCGGACTGGAGAAAAAAGAACTCATCAGCATATACATGACATTTACAACCACGGGACTAATGGGACACCTTAGAATGGAGTGGAGAAGGGAAAGGGTCCCCAGGCACCCAACATTTAGAAATCAGATAGAAAAAGAACAGTCAAGAAAGGCAAATGAAAGGAGTAGGAGGTTAAAGAAAAGAAATTGTTTGGGGGTCTCGGGAGCTAAGAAAGAATGTCCTAAGAAATAAATCAATACCAGCAAATGCTGTACTGAAATTAAGATGACCATAAAGCAGTTGCTATTGGTTTGGTAACCCTAAAAATTGCACATTGTTATTATCCCCAATTTACCATTGATAAAGCAAGTGTTGTTAAGATCTCAGGTTGTCAAAGGTCTTGTATGCATGCATATAAGTCTAACCAATGGACACAGACAACAGGGGGATGAGAAAATGAGTAGGGGGGAGGTAATGGGGGAATAAGTACACCTTAATCAATAAAGAAATTTTTTTAAGAATCTCAGGTTGCAGTTACAACCAAACCCAAATTGTTGAGCTCCACCACTGCATTCCAGAAGATTAGGTAGACCACATCCTTTGCTGGAATTTAGTTTAGATGACTGAAAAAGAGTATATTAAAATGTTTTTGTTATGGCTAATGATAGCATGCATAGTGCTACTGTTTCACTTTTGTCCCTTCCAATGATTATTAGAAATTAAATATACAAAGAAACTAGTGATTTTTCATGACCATCAACTTTTGACTTCTCTTCAATACTGCAATCACAAGGACAAAGGTTTTTTAATAATTTGCTTTCAAATCATTAAACTATACACATATTTCAAAAACTGAATTGAGTTTTCATTCTAATTAAATCATTTATATTTACTACATTTGTAACAAGTTTTCTTCCTCTCCTGAGATATGAAAGTAAACCATAAAAGTTTAAAAAAAAAAATTTTTTTAAACAGGCTTCTATATAGTAAAAATCTGGATAGATAGAAACTTCTGTTCCCCTGTATTCCTGGACACATCAACTCTCTGACAGTGCCCACCATATGCTATAGTAATTATCTGTTTACTTATTTGTTTTTCTCTCCCCACTAATCAGGAATATTCAATGTCATATTCACATTTGTCTTCCTAGCATATACAAAGCATCCAATAAATATTCACAAAATAAAAGTGTGCCCTGGCCAGTGTGGTTCAGTGGTTGAGCATCAACCCCATAAACCAGGAGATCATGGCTTGATTCCTAGTCAGGCCACATGCTCAAGTTGTAGGCTCCAGCCCCAGCAGGGGGTGTGCAGGAGGCAGCCAATCCATGATTCTCTCTCATCATTGATGTTTCTACCCCTCTCTCCCTTCCTCTGAAATCAATAAAATAAATAAATAAATAAATAAGTAAATAAATAAATAAATAAATAAAATAAATATAAAAATAAATAACATGGTTCAGTGAGCTGTGCATCTTATACAAAATACTGAATTTTAAAGAGGAGGGGAGGGGAAAGGAGGGGTTAGGGTTAGGGAGGGAAGGGAAGGGAGAAGAGAAGATAAAAAGTGTCTTTAGGTAGTCTAATTCGTTTTCATACTAAAGATATAATAAACATTGAATGCTGGAATCAAACTAAAAGCTTGAAGGCCCTGGCCTGACCTCCAATAAGTGGCGATAAGGACAAAAAACAAGGCTGAGAAATGGGAGGAGCAGATCTTAAAATAAATAGAAAATCTAGCATTAGAGACTCCACAAAGTAGCTTTCAGAATCAGATATTAGAAACTTCTTTATCCAGCACTTTCTTCTTATAAATAAGAAGTGAGATTCAAAGAGTTTATGAGTTTTTCAAGGCAACACATTGCCCCAATAGGCACAGAGGGTTGGTTTTCAGGGTCTTTCTCTGGCATACCGCCTCTATCCCCACACAAGAAGACCATGTATGAACCTTACTTCTTTATATATCTTTTTCCTCAGATAGAACCTTCTGCCTCCCCATTTCTTTTTATTATTTTTATTATTCTTTCATTTTCTCACCTCTCATAATCTTCTTCCTAAGTCTTGGCCTGCCAGTGACCCTCAATGGCACCCATGAAAACTACCTACCTGAAGACATCTATAATCTATAACAATAAAAGCATAATATGCTAATTAGACCAGAGGTCCTTCCAGGCGACCTTCAGGATGAAGCTACCGAGGCAGAGGCAAAGGCAGAGGTGGCCACCATGGCCAACCCCTTATATGAATTTCATGCATCAGGCCTCTATTTCATGTATAAGCTGATGGCCTTGCTCAGCACTAACAGGGAAATATAACAATCCTTCATTCCCACTGTCTGGGTCAGAACCCCATCACCAAATATCTAGATGATTATAATAGTTTCCTTCTCTGGTATTCCTATTCCTCCCATCCCTTCTCTTATCTCTCCCAATTAGATTTTGAGCCCCCTAAGAATTTCCTTACTAATTTCTGAGTGCCTGTCACCTAATCTATATATATAAAAGCCTAAGCAACTGTTACGACCGAACAACCAGAAAAAAGTCAACCAGTTGCTATCATGTGCACTGACCACCAGAGGGCAGATGCTTGATGCAAGAGTTGCCCCAAAGTGGTCAGTGCACTCCCACAGCCAAATTCCCATGGCTGGCCAACCTCCCCTGGTCCATTCCCCTCGCTGGTAAACCTCCTATCGTCCCCACCCCCCATCCAGCAGGCCCTGACCAGCAGGCCCCAGTCAGCAGCTGGCAGCTGGCAGGCCCTGGTTGGCCCGGCCCCAATGGAGACTGGGTGAGACAGCCCCAATAGGTCCTGATTGCCAGCCAGGACTAGGGACCCCATCCATGAACCAATTTTATGCACCGAGCCTCTAGTATACAACAAGTAGAAATAACTTAGATTACCAGATAAATCTGAATTTTACATAAATAATTTTTAGTTCAAGTATATCCACATATTATTATATGGACACAATGGTTGTTTTTTTTTTAATGTTGTTGTGTTCTTTATCTGAAATTCAAATGTAACTAGGCAGCCTGTGTTTTTATTTGCTAAATCTGACAACTCTAAATAACACTAATACTATTAAGAACATCCATTGGGTACAAGTCAGTTGTGCTCAGAACTAGCACTGCAGCCTGCTGGGAAAGAGGAATAAAGAGGGGTGTGCTGCAAGGAAGGCACAGGACCAAACAGCTGCTTGCTTATTTTTTAGTATTTTAGTTACTGTTGATTCCTGTTAACTACGGTGCAAAAATAAATTTCAAAGTCTTGGCTAAAAATGAAAGAAGGGACTAAAAAGGTCCCAACTGCACGGCCCAATAGGCAAAAGAGGAAGAAGTATTTAGATATATTTTCAAGTTTTGATTAAACAAACAACATTACC